TAACATCAAGAAATGGTTAGATATTCTAGTCTTCTCGGATAGGGACGAATAAATGGAGGTTCCGGGGTTAGGGGCAGGAGACGTTAATTTCCCACGCACGAGATTACTGTGTGATGGATGTCCTCCCCTGGGGTGGGATGGGTGGGTAACAGGACCCCCGTTGATACCAGTGTTTACTACACTAAAGGGGCTACCTGTATAAATATAGATGTCTACTTCTACTTCTACCCTAGAGAGAGCGATGTATGCCCTAACCTACAGCCGATTTAAAAAAAATCCATTCACCCAGTTGCCTCGTCTAACACGACGAATTGCGGTGTCACATCAGGCTTTGGAGCAGGCGCCATTTTTGTGTTTTTAGGCATAGCAGAGGAAAACGCGAGACGAATGTGAAAAGAGAACGAAGGGCCACACTTGCCCAAGAGGGGGATTGCGAAGGAAAAATCTCCTCTTGTAGGTATCTAGCCTTGCTTGCTTTCGTCCACTTGCCAAAAAAACTAAAAGATCAAGCGATAAATCAAGCCTGAGTGTTTCCAGGGAAATCTCCCCGTAGAACGTGCAACCTGGGGATTTTCAGAGGGGCGCAAGTTCTTTTATAAATGGGGGAGGGGGAGGGGCAGTGATCTTTGTTTTTCTCTGCCTCGTTTACTTCTTAATTCTATTCTATGAGCTTTTAAAGACTTGGAAAGACGAAGGAAAATGCCTTTAAGGCTAAGCATGCAACAAAGTTACTTTGTTTTAATGAAAAGAATCTAATTCTGTGGTATCAGTGACATCCAACAAAATTGCTTGACCGTATTTGTTACTTGATCAACTTGCCATTATAACATCTATGAAAGGTAGAATCTGAGCCCCACGTAGTAGCTCCTACTATACACGAAATCGGTACGTTACAATGATAGGTTAGCTCTGCTGATGACAGCAGCACGTGTGCTGTGGGGCTCGTAAACTAAACGAGCAAACCTACGAATACATCTATACAGTTGTCACATCTCCAGACACTTTCGTCCGTTTCAGTGGCTCGTTGCCAAAAGCTAACAGGTAGCTCGAAATGCCAGCTTTACAGTCAAACTAAGTGAAGCGTACCCTTCAGGATTACATTAATGATTTGATTATTTGAATATTGAACCCGCTAATCGTTTCAGGAGCGCAATAACGAATTGAATATTTGAACATGGAACCCGCTAACCGTTTCAAGAATGCAATAATGGATTGATTATTTGAATATTGAACCCGATAGCCGTATTCGTTTTGAAAAGGCGCGGATCATTGTTCAAATCAGAAGTCCATTTCTGATTGGATTATGCGAACACGTGATGATGGATCGGAACTATTTCAACATGGCGTCAGACATGG